AATGACAAAAATAATCAAACTAATTTGATTATGTCAACAGATGGAGAAAAAAGCCTTTGATAAAATGCAATACACATTTCTATCGAAAACACTAGAAGCATAGAACTTTATCTTGATAGTAAATATTATCTATCTAAAACCAAAGACTACATTGATGGGGTGCTCACTTTGTTAAGCATTACAGTAAACTTTGCCACTTGGCTAAGAGATGGCTTGAGCATGTGAATTTGTTTCAGGCAACACTGCCTTGGTATTCTTGAGGTTCCCAGCACCCCAGACCTTGTCAACGTGATATATAATGGTGCTACACTAGAGGTCTTTCTTAAAATTAGGAATAAAGCAAGGAGGCCTATTAACACCACTATTAAACATATTGCTAGCAATAAAACAAAGAAATAAAAAGTGACCAAGTGTGGATGGAGAGGAATGGTGGTCTACATAGAGAATGTTAAAGAAGAAATTACTTGAAATAATAACTTCAGCAAAGTAGCAAGATATAGAGTAAATCACCACAAGACATCAGTATTTTTATAGATCGCCAAGAAAATGAGCCTGAAGAGAGGGAAATAGAAATTCCTTTCAAAATAATTAATGTTCAAAATGAATACCAACTAAAATATATGCAAAAATTAAGTAAATACTGAAACAGATAAACATAAATAAATGGAAAAATTATTAATTACTCATGGTTGGCCCTTGTCTATATGATAAAAATGGCAAAACTACATAAATTAATTTATTCATTGTCATGCCAATTAAACTTCCAAAGGCTTACTTTATGGAACTAGAAAAAAATATAATAAAGTTGGTCTGAAGGAAAAATAAAGATCAAGAATCTCAAGGAAAATCATTTGTAAAAGTGGGGAGGAAGACATCCTACCAGCACTAGATCTCAAACTATATTGCAAAGTAGAAATTATCAAAACGTTGATGTACTAGTTAAAAAGCAGAAAAGTTGTTCGGTGAAGCAGTGAGGCACAGTGGATAAAGCCCCAGACCCAAACTCAGGAAGACCTGTGTTCAAATCTGGCCTCCAACATTTAACTAACTGTGTGACCCTGGACAAGTCACATGGATAGGTCTGCCTTGGTTTCCTCAACTACAAAGAGGAATTAATACTAGGACTTACAATACAGGGTTGTTGTGAGGATCAAATGAGATAATATTTGTAGCACTTAACAGGCACTTAAACGCTTGTTCCCTTCTTTCCTTTCCCTTCAGATTAGGTGCACAACAAATGTATACAGTAGCACAATATTTGACAAAACCAAAGTATAAAGACTGGTATAAAGACTCACTACTCAATAAAAAAAACTCCTCTGAAAACTAGAAAACTCTGTCAAAAATGAGGCATATATCAACATTTACAATAAGCTCTAAAGGGATATATATATATATATATATATATATATAGTGATATTATAAACAGACTAGAGGAGCAAGGAAGGAGATATCTTTTGTAATTATGAATAGGATAAGATTTCATTATCAAACAAGAGATCACCAAAAATAAACTAGACAAAAATTACTGCAAAAAAATTGAAAAATTTTTACATAAACAATATAAATACAGTAGTTAAAATTTTAAAGGAAACAGTTAACTGAGGGAAAAACAATCTTCTCAGCTGCCTTATCTAATAAAGGTTTCATATCTAAGATATATAAGAAGAAGAGCTATTCCTCAATAGATAAATAGCCAAAGGATATAAACAGGAAATTCTCAAAACTATCAACAGCCATGTGAAAACAATGCTCCAAATCACTAATGAGAGGATAAATGCATATTAAAACAACTCAAAGTTTCCACCCATAAGATTGGCAAAGATGACACTAAAAGGAAAATGACAATTGTTGAGGATGCACTTTTGGTGATGCTGTGAATTAGTGGTAATCATTCTGGAAAGCAATTTGGAACTATGTCCTAAAAATTGGTGACTCAGTTGTGCATCTACTAGGCATATACCCCAAAGAGATAAAAAGGGGAAAAGAACCAAAAATATTTATAGCACATCTTTTTATTGCAGCAAAGGGCTAGAAACAAAGGGACACTCACCAACTGAGGAATGGTTAAATAAATATTAGTATAAATGGAATATTGTTATGTCACAAGAAATGACAAAAAAAAAAAGGATTGGTACAGAGAAACTTGGTAAGACTTGTATGAATTAATGAAGAGTGAAGTGAGCAGAACCAGGACAATTTATATAATAATAACAATGGTGGCACTGGGAATGGGGCTTTATCTGCTTCCCAATGCTAATTTCTATTCATTGGATTATAGTATCTCTCAGTTTCTAATCTGTTTAATGTTACTGCTGGTTACAGCAAGAATAACACATGTGGTAAATAAATTGAAAAATAGTTTAATGTACTTTATGTGACCAGAAAAAAGGAAAATTATAAAAGTTTTAGAATTGCTAGGTGAAGTGGTGCATACCTAGCTACTGAGGGGACTGAAATTGGTGATCACTTGAGCTAGGAGTTCTGAACTGCTGTAGGGCTGAAAGTCCTGAGATTAGGTGTCTCTGGGACTACAGTAGCTGGGTCTAGAATAAGGGGGTTCAGGGAACCACAAGGCCACCTAAGGAGGCGTGAATTAGTCCAGGTGGGAAAAGGAACAAGTCAAAGCTTCTGGGCCAATCAGCCCTGGGATCAGGCCCATGAGTGGCTGCTGCATTTCCAGGACAGGGAGACCCAAGGAGGAAGAGGGAAGATAGTGAAGTCAGAATTACTTACAATTTAACTTATTGGCCTGTGCAGAAAGTGATTCTTGACTGCAGATAAAATTATTTAAACCAAGTAGTTAATTCCTCTATAATTAAGGCAGATGCTTTTTTTTGCGTAAAATCCAAAGGCACTTTTTGTAGATTAAAATTAATTTATCCCAGTGTCCTGAAATTCATAAACCACAAAAATTTTAATATTTTACAAACTGAATATTTGAAATATGCTATTAAAATAATACATGTAATCCATAAATTTCCTTATTGTGAAAGCTGACAAATGTGTAGAAACCTCTATCTCTGATAATTATTTCTGGGGAGAAAGTACATATTTAACCATTTTTCTTCACCTTAATAATCCCTACCCACGATCCAGTAGATAACTACATTGGCCAGATTTATTTTTTCTGATTTAAATTGTTCCAAATACAGTCAATGTTTAACAGATATTCCATTTGATGTTTTGGCCATTTAATGAATGCCATGGCTTGATAGCATTATTGTAGTTCATATCATTTTCCTGGTCTTACATCTCTTTTAAACCTCACAACAAGTATTATTTTCCCCATTTTACAGATGAGGAAACAGAATCTGAGAGAGGAAGTGACTTTTTAAATTCACAGGGACTAAGTAGTCAAACCAAATTTTGAGTCCTTTTAAACTCACTGTCAATACTCAGTTCAGTATCAATTCAGTAGAGCATAGTTAACTCCTCATAAATCTGCAAGTACCTCATCTGGAAAAAAGATCATAACATGCATTAGTACATTCTTTAACATAGAGGAATATATTAAAATATCATTGCAAAAGTCTATTCCAACTTCATTCTTTTGATGCTATTACTGAAAAATGGATAGACTATGTAGCTGTGAGAAATTGGAAAACACTTTCTTTTAACTGTTCTGAGATTTATCTACTTTCTAGCAGGACATCTGGGGCTCAGAAAACACCTGCTTTCCTTAAAAATTATCTGCCAGAATGATTTCAGTTTCTCAATAGGAGAAATATAGAAATCTACAATCTAGATATTTTCCAACCTTTATGTTGTTCTGCACCCTAAAGGGTTTCCCACTGGGGCCTCAACTTCACAAACTACCAGGTTTAGGGTACGAAATGGAATAAGCTCCCCTTTTCAAATGTATGTGTATTGAATGTAGATCAACTAAAGAGAATTCAGATCCCTTAGCTAATTCTATCGTTTCCCCTTTAACGTACGGTGTTTAACTGCATGAATGAAATGAATAGCACCATACTCTAAAACCCTAAAGCCAATCAAACGTAGTTTATCATTCTAGTTTGGGAGCAAGAGCTGGACTTGTGCCCAAATTGCTTGCAAGCCCTAATGTTGAAACCGTGTATGAAAGTAAAAACAAAGAACACACAGTCTTTAACCTAGGAGACCGTCGCCTGCGCCTAGGGCACCCCAATCCAATTGCACTTTGGAAACGTGTGCAAGTGGAGACATTCAACTGCAATAACAGATTGGATGAAAGAAAAGAGTAATACAATTGTCCCATCCTGCGCCACCCCCACCCCACAACCCATCAGCAAATCCCCACCCTAGTGGCAGGTGGACAGTGTTGCTATGAAGAAAAAGAATCAATTGTCTAAACTCCAAACTGCCACACGCCAGACCTCCACTATTGTGTGCTTTCAATAGAAATGCAAACGAGCAGCGTGTGCCATCCACAATCTGCTCCACTAAGACTCATTATTTATTCAGGGCTTGTGTGGATTTTGGTAAAGTTTTCATTTCAGCCCCAATCCCTATTTATACTTTTAAACGTGCATTGCAAACGCCAATTTCTGTTCTTTAGGAATTGGGTGTTAGCAGCAAATATGTTTTGTTCAATTTCTGCAAGCTAGAAGCAGTATTTCAAGTTTTGCTCTACTATTATTTCCCTATTAAGTGAAATACTCTTGAATGGTAAGATCTGTCAAAAAAAAAACTTTTTTGCGAAGATCGAATTTTTTTAATAAGCAATTTCATTAGCCAAACCAACTTTTTCTTTTCTTTCCTTTTTACAATTTAAAAGACAGAGATTAAATTTACAGTCTGCAGTCTGCTTGGTAACAGCATAACAAAAGCAGCAGATTTGAGGCATTGTAATCCCTCAACCCCCTCCACTCACAAACACCTCCTCCCCCCCACACGTGGCCTTCTGGCACGAGTCGGCCAGCCTACGGCCTTATTACCATCATAATACTCCCCTGCCTCAGCCAATCAGTGTAAGGAACTCCACCAGCTGTCTTCTCAGCAGTCAGAAAGAACATAAAGAGGCTCCTAAGGAGACTCCTCTAGCAATTTTACTTGGTTACCAAAGGTGGCTCTGTCTGCTGGGTCTTATCCATTGAGCAAGGAGCAGCCAGAAGCTTCTTCTCTTCTTTGTGGATAACTTTTTTTTTCCTTCTCCCCGAATCATGACTCTGGAAGAAATCCACAGCCAGGAGATGGTTACCGAAAGCACCAATAGGTAATTATCAACTAGCAGCTGCTAGAAGGAAGGAAACCCTTGATGTAGGCTGCAGCCAGGGCAAGCTCCTGTAGAGCTGGGAGCACGTTCTTAGAGCCTGAGCTGGAGCGTTCCAACCTCTGCAGGGGAGGATGGCTCCCTACTCTGCCTGACCTTTCAAAGGGCCTTCCTTTTGCTGTTTCTGCGGGATGCAGAAGGCCAGAAACTTTTATTCAAATAGCTCTGTCAGATCATTTCGCCTTTTTAGCAAAAAGGGACCATATAGTTTTTGGTGGGGTTTGTAGCTACTGCTGTGTAGGAGGAAAGAAAAGGTGGCAGGGGTGGTTTATGGAGGCTGTGAGGCAATCGGGGTTCCCTCCTGTGGAAAAGCTGTAGGAAGCATCTACAGTGGTAGCATGTGTTGGGAAGGATATTTGAGATTTGCGCTTCTCTTACCGGTGTTCACAGCACCTACCCGACAGCCAGAGAGGCCTTAACGATTTTTCTCCCCTTTTTGGTCTTTTTCTCACCGGCATGCCCTATTGTGCCGTCCCTGTAGGATGCAGAGCGCCGGGAAAGCATTGAACGAGCTGCTGCTGTCTGCCCAACGCCAGGGCTGCCTTACTGCAGGCGTGTATGAGTCTGCTAAAGTCATGAATGTGTGAGTATCCTATCAGGCTGCCCCAGGAAGTTTCTTTTTTGACTGAAGTGCGAAGTGGAGACGATTGCTAGACTATCCAAGAAACAGGTAGAAATTGAGGCAGAGACAGTGGGACAGCCCCGCAAAAACACAGCCTAAATTGTAATTTCAAAGTAGTATTGTATTCCCTGTTTTGACATCCAAGATCTAACTTTCTTTCTCATGTAACTTTCCTTTCCCCCTCCATACAGCGATCCAGATAATGTGACTTTTTGTGTCCTGGGTGCAGATGAGGAAGATGAAGGGGACATTGCTCTGCAAATTCACTTCACTCTCATTCAAGCTTTCTGTTGTGAAAATGACATCGATATTGTTAGAGTCAACAATATCCAGAAGCTGGCAGAGATTATAGGTGCTAATGAGGATTCTGGAGAGCCCCAAGACCTACACTGCATCTTAATCACAGTAAGTATCTTTTGACCCTGTCCACTTCTTCCTCACCCAACATCAAAGATAAATTGATTGATATTATCTATATAGTAAAATACTTGAATGTTTTCCCTTTCCTTTTTTTTTTTTTTTTTTTTTTTTTTTTGCAGAATCCCAATGAGAATTCCTGGAAAGATCCAGCTTTGGAAAAACTAAGCTTGTTCTGTGAGGAGAGCCGAAATGTAAATGACTGGGTACCCACTATCACTCTGCCTGAATGAGTATGGTAGCCCAAGGCACTGGGAGGAGCCTTAAAACCTTTGTTGTCTTATCAACTTGGTGCTACACACCTGGGCTAACCAACCAACCCGTGGCTGATTCTGTAGATTAGCATGGAGGAGAAATCCAGAATTGAGCTGCTTGGAATGGTGTACAGTGAGCTGTTGCCAACAGAGGAGAGGAGAGTGAACGTACTGTGTACGTGATTGGTTAGTGCCCACCAGTAAGCCTTTGTGGTGCTTCAGCACTGGTGAGGATGGCTTACCTTGGAGCTGAAAGAATATTGGAAGTTTATAAATCAGATAAAACTGTCTTGATAAGGAGAACAGGTTGAGGAAAGGGAAAAAATAGCTACTAGAAGTTGAACCTGAGCTGTTCAGCAAAAGAAGGGAAACACTAGCTGGGTCATGGACCCTTGGACTTGAAAAAAAATTACAGTTGAACAACCTTATTTACGAGGGACTTCTGCATTTTTCCAAAACTGATTATTGCAATAATCCTAAAACAAGTGGTGCTCTTGATGAAGCGACGATGCAAGTTTGCAATAATAAACTTATTGAAAATGAAGTATTGTATTTGCTTGTTTTGCTTTGGGGCAGTAAAACAATTCCAAAAGCATTACTCAACATAAGCCACTAAGAGATTTCAGTTCTACTTAGGCAGCATGCTTGTTTGAATCTTTATATTTTATGATTTACTATGGCAACTTAAGCAAACTGTTCCAGAGAGGAACAAGGTTAATCTCATACTTTTCCCTTTAAGAGACCCAAATATTTTCAAGTAGTAGCTAACTAAAGATAAGGCAAATAAATGTTTTCTAGTCAATTTGATAATTTGACCTTTTGCCTTCTCTCCCCTCCGCTATTCTTTGCTACAACTGGTTATCACAATGTCTGGCACTGCATACTTAATAAGCTCTGCTTTTGTGGTAGGTGGCCTTTGTATTCTCCTCGAGAGATCTGACAGACTATTCCCTAAGGAAATATTTGTGTCATAAAGCAACTATGGACATATTAAGCACATCCAGCAATAATTGCAAAGGCAGCTATATTAAATATAACAATTTATATCTGCACTTGATATTGCTTTTAATTTTTCAATTTTGTTTTTAAATATTTTTTAATTACCAAAAGTCTATTTTTTCTCCCTCCCACCATCCCCCCCCGTTAAAAAGGAAAAAACTAATCTGCATAGTGAAGCAAAACAAATTCCCACATTATCCATGTGCCCAAAATATATGTTTAATTCTACATCCTGAATCCATCACTTTCAAGAGGTGGGTAGCATGCTTTATCATCAGTCCTCTGGAGTTCTTTATTGGCCGTTGTTCTGATCAGGTTTTTTAAAGTCTTTGCAAAGTTGTTTGTCTTTACGATGCTAGATAACTTCATTGGAGCATGAATTGCTCAATATTGTTCTGTCATTATGATAACTGAACAAAGATTTGAGTAAAAATGTCAAGACATTGCATGGACATGATTAATTAGGCATACCACTTACATCTGCTATAACTATTTTGAGTTTTCCTCATCCTTACACAAAGGGACCATTATTCACAAATCTATTTGCAGTCTTACAGGATTAGTTGTTGAGTTGGTTTTTCTGTTCTGTTCTGTTTTGTTTTGTTTCCCTGTTACTTTTTAAAAGTAATGTAGGATTTGTTTTAGTCTCTATACTGATGTGGGAATTTCTGGTGTGGAAAATTTGCTACATGAATGCAAATTGGGAACGTCTGTAATTTATGGTCTTCAGAGAATTTTGCAGTGTTACTGAGAGGGTGACTTGTCCATGGTCACCAGCCAGTATGCCTTAGATCTCTGAACACTGATTCTCCCTGACTCCAGGGTTGACCCTGTATCCACTGCTTCTTAGAAGATTTGAAAAAACATATGGTTAAGGAACAATTTGACTAAAATTCAGCCTTTATGTTAGACTGATATTGTATAACAACTATTCATATGCTAATTTCATATCAGTCTCATGGCCTTCAGTGGGAGATGGTTTTTGTTTTGTTTTGTTTTTTATTAGGAAGACCTCAATTTTTTTTTTGTAAATAGTATTTTATTTTTTCCAATTACATGTAAAGATAGTTTTCAACATTCATTTTTTGTAAGATTTTGAGTTTTAAATTCTTTCTCCCTCCCTTCTTCTTATCCTCCCCTCCCCAAGACGGCAAGCAATCTGGTATAGGTTATGCATGTGCAATCGTGTAAACATATTTCCACAATAGTCATGTTGTGAAAGAAAAAAACAAAAAGAAAAAAACCACAAAAAAAAAAAACCAAATAAACAAAAAACTGTTGGTCTGCATTCAGACCCCATAGCTCTTTCTCTGGATGTAGATAGCCTTTTCTGTCATGAGTCTTTTTGAATTGTCTTGGATCATTATATTACTGAAAAGAGATCTAAGTCAATCATAGTTGATCATCACAGAATGTTGCTGTTACTGTTTACCATGTAATCCTGGTTCTGCTTACTTCACTCAACATCAGTTCATGTAAGTCCAAGTTTTTCTGAAATCCACTTGCTCCTCATTTCTGATAGCACAATAGTATTTCTTTACATTCCTATACCACAACTTGTTTAGCCATTCCCCAATTGATGGGCTTTCCCTCGATTTCCAATTCTTTGCCACCACAAAAAGAGCTGCTATAAATATTTTTGTACATGTGGGTCCTTTTCCCATTTTCATGATCTCTTTGGGATACAGACTTAGCAGTGTTATTGCTGGATCAAAGGGTATGCATAGTTTTATAACCCTTTGGGCATAGTTCCAAATTGCTCTCCAGAGTGATTGGATCAGTTGGATCAGTTCACAACTCCACCAACAATGCATCAGTTTTCCCACATCTTCTCCAGTGGAGGATGTTTTCAATGGGCTTTGTTTACCTTGTCAATTAGTTGCATGCAAAAGTCAAGAAGAATGTTTATTCATTAAAAAAAAAAAAACAAGTGGACAGGATGCATGAGAGACATGCTGAGTCATCTTTCAATGAAGATGGTGTAACTGCTCACATTGTTAGAACTGGGAATCTAGGTTAATCTTTTAATTGTGTGGGTGATACGCCCAGTGTTTGATATACCAAATTTCAAAGTGTGAGGGGGAAAACATGAGAACTGAATAAGCTAAAACGCTATTACCTGATATTATCATTTTGTCACTTTTTCACATCATTAAAAAAAAAGTTTTTTGTTAGATAAGGATGGATGTAATGAACTCAGGTGTAGAAATATCTGAATCTTATTGGGATCTAATTTATTTGACCCGAAGTCCACATAAGCTTTGGGTTTATTTATTAAGTATACTCAGACTTGGGACTTATTTTGACATTTTGTACAAGAACACACGAAGGATCTGAAATTTTGGTTAGCATAGGAAACTACAGGTTTGAGAACAACTTTCACTAATGCAGACTACAACCTGTTTATATTAGTAGAAAAATATTAGAGACTTGCACAAGACAAAGATTAAATGACTTTCCGAGGGTCACATAGCTAGTAAGTTACAGAAACAAGAAATAAATCCAGGTTTTCCTAAATTCAAGTCCAGAACACTATTTACTATATCTCACAGCCTCTTGGGTTTCCATGATGTAGTAGTAGCAGCAGCAGCAGCAGCAGCAGCAGCAGCAGCAACAGTAGCAATGGTATATGGTTTAATGTATGCTCAGCATCGTCCTGGTGTCTAAGTGCATGCACTTAAAATTGACCAATGGTCTGAGGGCCAAGATGGTAAGAATAAAAGGAAACAATATAGTTTAGGTATATCCTAGCATTAAACAATCCAATAGCTAAATAACTCACACCTTAGCCAAATATAAATGTAATCCAGATCCCTTTAGGGATGAAAGTGAAAAGTTTAAGAACTCGATGGCCCTTGTGTCAGGAAAGCAAAAGTTGAAAGTGAAAAACTTTCACTCCTAAAAGTCTCAAATACCTCAGGAAGAAATTCCCCAAGGGACTAAAGCAGCGAAATTGACAGATTTTTCCTGTAAGCTAAACACAAATGGGCACACAAAAACCTAAGCACTTAAAGGGGGTGGGAGTGGGGGACAGAGGACACCTTAATATAAAGGAAAAAGAAAAAAAATATATACTTGGGTTGTCAGTTGATTTAAAAGAAATGGTCCCCCATAGGAAGTCCTTGAGGGAGTAAAGTGAAACTGACATACTTTGGAACTAAGGGTTTTGTTTTGTTTTGTTTTGTTTTTTAAGGCAAACTAGGAATGAAGGGGCTGGGGCAAGGAGGGGAGGAGCAAGAAGAAAACTAAAGCCTTTAGTAAAATTGGCAGTTGAATTTTAAAAAATAAAAAATTGTGGAGGAAAAAAGGACCTTAACTTCTCTCTTCTTTCCCTTCAAAGAAAAGGCCTCAACTAGATCTCTCCCTCCAGAAGAGTTCTTCCTTGTATTTAATCAAGGATTAGCAAAGTGGCCTTCTTCCTTTTTTTTCTCATCCAAAGGAATGTGCTTCATCTTAGGTTGATCACAGCAGAAGGCAACTTTGCTGTCTATAGTAAAGGAACAATCCCTAAAGAAAGAGCAAAGGAGTAAAAGAAAACTTTGATTTGAACCTCAGAGTAAAGGAGACCAAGAGCTCAATCTTCAAGACCTTAGTAACAAAAATTAGTTGTTGTTTTAAGGACTTTTATAATGCTAAGGATATGCAAAGCATAAATTCAGAAAAGCAGAATAATTTTTAAAATACCCATAATAATTCAAAAATCTAAAGAAAAAACAGATTGGCCACAAAAATTAGAGTTTTCAAAGAAATTATATGAGTTTTAAATACACATAAAAGAAATTAAAACTACAGAGGAGAAAAGTGGAAAAAGATCAATCGCTTGATGGAAGACATGCAAAATCCTAGCCAAACTACAAGCTCCCTAAAAATCAGAATGAACCAAATAGAAATTGATGACTCCTCAAGGAGATAAGTATTTGAGAAAACAATTGACCTGTTAAACAGATCAGTGAGAGAATTTTAAAATCATAGGATTACCTGAAATCATGACAAAAAAAAAAGAACCTGGATATCATAGTTCAAGAAAATGTTAAAGAAAATTGGCAGACATATTAAAACAAGAAGACCATGTAAAAAAAAAATCCACCAATTGCCTCCTGAAGGAAATTCTAAAATGAAAACTCCCAGGAATGGGATTGCCAAAATCCAGAGCTTCCAAACAAAAGAAAAATGCTACAGGAAGCCAGCAAGAATTCAAATATCAAAGAACCACATAAGGATCACCTAAGATTTAGGAGCTATCACTTAAAGGATTGAATCACTTGGAATGAGATAGTCTAGAAGTTAAATGAGAAAGATCTACAACCAAGAACAATTTACCCAGCAAAATTCAGTATCGTCCTACGTGAGAAAAAAAAAATGAACCTTCATTGAAAGAGAAAATTTTCAAATATTACTTATAAAACAACCAAAGCCATAAAGGATATTTGAAATATAAAAACAGAAGTCAATAGCAAAAGAATAACAAGAAGGGATTTATAAGAATTAACTATTTACATTCCAACAAAGAGAGGGAATTTAATTCTATTGTCACAAGGGGCCACA